AGAGCGCCTTGCAGTGGCCCTGGGTGAGGCGTCCCCGGAGGGAGAGCAGGAGGAGCGTGTAGGAGGTGAGCAGCAGCAGGAAGCAGCCCAGGGAGATGAGGCCGCTGTTGGAGGCCATGAGCCACTGGGTGAGGTAGATGTCGGCGCAGGCCAGGTGGATGACGGGCTGCACGTCACAGAAGTAGCTGTCGATGGTGTTGGGGCCGCAGAAGGGGAGCTGGATTGTGAGCCAAGTCTGGGTGATGGAGTGCAGGAACCCCCCTGCCCAGCAGGAGCAGACCAGCAGCCAGCAGGCCCAGCGGCTCATGATGGCCGTGTAGTGCAGGGGCTTGCAGATGGCCGTGTAGCGGTCGTAGGCCATCACGGCCAGGAGGAACATCTCCGAGGAGCCAACAAAGTGCAGGAAGAAGAGCTGGGCAATGCAGCCTTCAAACACAATGGCCTTCCTGCGGGAGAGCAGGTCCACCAGCATCCTGGGAACGGTGACAGAGGTGCAGCAGATATCAAGGAAGGACAGGTTGCAGAGGAGAAAGTACATGGGTGAGGAGAGCTTGGGGTCAGTCCTGACTGTCACAATGATGAGAAGGTTCCCCAGCAGAACCATGGTGTAGGCCAGGAAGAAGATGGTGAACAAGACAACTTGCAGCTCCCTGGTGTCAGAGAGCCCCAGGAGGATGAATTCAGTCACCTGGGAGAAGTTGCTCCGTGCCATGGCTGCAGCTCAGGCTCCCATGGCACAGGTGTTGAGGGGCAGTCATGGGCTGGCCAGCAGAAGAAGGGAATGTGCTACAGCTCCAAGGGTCATGGATGGTGACAGCAGCGTGCATTTGCTGCTGTTTTTCCTGCTACAGAAAGCACAGTGTCATGTCCTAAATCACAGTGAGCAGCGTTTGCAAAGAGCACTGTCCCCTGCTCCTCTGCCTTCCCACTCCCGTTTCAGATCTCTGACCCCTCCACACTGACCCTCAGCCCTGAACCCACTGTTTTCCTGCACTGTAGTTGTTGTGACAAATGTGTGCTCCTATTCTGTCAGGGAGGAATCCCAGAATCATGGAATCATTGAGGTTGAAAAGATCTCTGAGATCATGGAGTCCAACCCTTCCCTCAGCACTGCCAAGCCCACCACTCAACCATGTCCCCAAGTGCCACATGCACATGTCACTTCAAACCCTGAAGGGATGGCAATTCCACCACATCCTACTCTCACAGAATAGAGAGCTGGAAAAATGCTACAGTGTCCTTTTATCTGCTGGGAATTGGAAGGGCTAGGATGGAAGTAAATCCTGCCATGCTCAAGCATCTTCTCTACAATATATGGCTCAGGCACGAGATGCTGCATGTTCTTTTCCTAATGGCTCTCCTCTAAATTGAGGAAAGGACTCTCTAGTTAGCTCATCCACTCTGAAACTGGAAATATATGCACAGAAAGCAGGTTCCTCACTGGAAATGCTCTCCCCCGAGCCAGCAGCTGTTTGGAAGCTTGAGTGCTCCCTTAGGCCTGCTGTTATCAGAACACACCCTCCCTCCCAAAATTAGGGTCTCTAACAAAGCAGAAGCTGCAAACCCCTGCCCAGTTTCTCTACCTCTTTATTTTTTAAAGGAATTGTTAAAGTTCTCCAGTAGACAAATACACTCACTGTCTTGGGGAGGTTCCAATGGGACCAGCAGAGGAATGCCCATTTCCATTTACAATCCCACCAGGAAATTCCTTTGCTGCTCATTTCTGCCCAAGAGTTTCTAACTCAGCAAGCAGGAGGTTACTAGCAAGAAACCAGAATCTGTTTTTCTTGCGTGCCTCTTGCCTTTTGCACTTTCCTCAGGTCTTGCTCTATTTTCTCCTCCTTTCTGGTAGATCTCAAGCACAGAATTCAGAATATCTGTCTGCAAATCATGGCATCACTTTAGGAATGATCCCACTTTTCCCTCTCTCTTTCCCACAGTCTCTGTAGTTTTCCAGAGGTGCAGAAAGGGTGAAGAGTCTACAGCCACCCCGAGGTTGTACTAGACAGAGAGCTCAGAACAGGCATCACAGTTGGTGTGTAGCAGCTCTGCCTTCCTGTGTAGTCAAGAAAGAGGAAGAAACACCTTAAAGACACAGCTCAGTTGACCTTTATTAGGTCATTACACCACAGGGAGATGATTTAGCCCATCAAAGATTGTCCCTCTGTCCTTGAGTGCAAATGGAGAGCAGATACCTGCCCCAGGCCAGATGTCTAGGATGCCATCAGCATTAAGTAAAGCTGCCTTAAAGGATCCCAATGGCCAACATTTAGCATTTACATGTTTCTGCATATTTTTCAACACTTTACCAAGGATTTCTCTCTGCCTTTCACATAAACAAACACCACCACACACATGTGCTTTAATACCACATGGCTGACACGAAGAACATAAGGAAAGGAGAGAAAAAATGCTTCCTACAGTACCCAGTTCCTAAATGTTGCTACATCAACTTTCTGAGTTCCACATTTGTCGCCTGAAAACATTTGAAATCATTCACTCCATGTTCCGAGTTCTTCACCAGACAGGTCAGAGAATTGTTCCACTCTTCTTCCTCCTGCTTGCAATTCCTGTACCCTTGCTCTTATTTTTCTTGTTGCATCAAAACTTGCTTCAGGTATTTTTCAAGGCAGTTTTTTTTTCTTGCCAGGCAGGTTTTACTGTGATGGCATCAATGTCCTGTTTTCTGTCTGTCACTTACACTGAGAGATCCAATGAGGGAACATCTCCAAGGCTTTTGGAAGAGAGCTCTGCATTTCCTCCATCTTCCTTCTCCCTGAAGTCACCCCACCCCAGCACAGCCTATAAATACTCCTGGAACATACTGGGGACTAAACACAGGCAAAAGAGAGTTGGACCTGAGAGAAATGTGTCATTAGCAAACTGCAAGCAGGTCCCTGAGGGCCTTATTAAATAGTTTTGCTGGTTGGGTCCCTTGGTTGGGTCCCAAGTCACTTGAGGACCTTTTGTGAGTGGAGTCCTGGGGTTGATGAAGAGAGGAGAAAACACCACACACTTCCAAGCACTCACAAGACCTTTGTATGAAACAAAGCCTGAAGTTTCTAGTAATAAAATGGCAAATGTAGGGTTCTACCACTGATCTGTGCATTGAGCCAGTGTGAGGCAGCAGGAAATGTTGCTTGAGATCAGAGAGATTCAGGGCCAGGACAGGGAGTCCTGGTTTCCCAGGGATAGACTGGATCAATGCCTCACCAGGATGAGATGTAAACAGAACCAAATATGAATGTTCAATCCCCAAGTCAAAGGAAGGTCTGGGCAGACCATCATATCAGTGGGGATATGTCCCTGAGAACTGTGGCTCAAGTTCAAATCAGATTGAACTGATTCTTCCAGACATGGTGTTAATTGAGAAGAGATCCCCCATCTTTATCTCAGCATTATTTATTTCAATTTTTTTCTTTCAATTTCTTCCCATATCCAGCTGAGGATGAGTGAGAGAGGGGCTGTGGGAGTGTTCCAGCAGCCAGCCAAGGAATCAAACCCATGGCATGAATTTTAAAGCCTAGAATCTAGTCTCTGAAAGCATGTAATCTCTAAAAAGAATGAATGTGATTATTGAATCTGAAGGCCATTTCTGCTCCATCTTCAGGGGCTGCTCCTCCAATCCGGAAAGAAAGTCTTATTGACTGCACCCCTGGGTTTAGTTTTACACAGTGAAGATAAACCCTTCCTCTTCTGCCAGTCCTGGTTACCTCTTTGTCTTCCTATTCTGATGGACATATAGAGAAATTCTAATACTTTTTGGTCCATGTGATGATGTTTTACTTCTAATTTTACTGCCATCATAAAGTGCCAAGGACTTGCTGCTGTATTTCATCTCCACGTGTTGCCAATTACTTTCAGGCAAATGAGTATGTTGTCAACTATTTTAAGGACATCTCATTCCTCTGCTTCCCTTTCCAAAATTTTAGGACCAATAGAAGTTTTTAGAAAATTCATGCCTTGACCACAGCCAGTCAATTTGCAGTAGAAGGGCATTGCCCAGAGTTGTGAGATTCTGGGGTCATTTCTACATTTCTATACTGGAAATGGCTTGTCCTCCTTGTCCTGTCACTCCAGGCCCTTGTCCAAAGTCCCTGTCCAGCTCTCTTGGAGCCTCTTCAGGCACTGCAAGGGGCTCTAAGGTCTCCCCAGAGCCTTCTCTTCTGCAGGCTGAACCCCCCCAGCTGTCCTAGCCTGTCTTCAGAGCAGAGGGGCTCCAACAGACAGATCAACCATGCCTGTGCTCTTTAACCATGCTCAGGCTGCTGCCCTGATAAGGGTCACCTGTGACATCAAATCAGTGTCTCAGGATTCCTTGAAATAAAGTTGATCCAACCAATAATAGCCATAATTTCCTGTTTATTGTACAGGAGTGGTTTTTGGAGGTGGGCATTAATTTGCATGTCTTCCAGTTGTTGGCAGTGGACCTCCTAGGGGAGTATTTGAACACCCAGGGGCAGGAGGGAGAACAAATCTGAAGGAGACAGCACATTCACCAGAAGATAGCAAATCTATCAAAATGGGAGCATTCACACTGACTCCTGTAGGAAAGCTTTCAGCTCTTACCCTGATGAACATTTTATCATGATACTGATATTGAATCGGAATAGTAATGATTTCACTGGAAATTGCACTGGTAGAGGAAGAAGGAAAGATTCCCCTCCAGTAATTGGCAGCAGCAAATCACCAAACTTCCACCAAATACCAGTTTTTCTTTCCCTCCCCATGATGTCTTAAGCTCCTGTCATCTTACAAACATTGCCGTGTCCTTTCATTTCTCACTCCTCCTCACTGTCCTGCTCCACAACTTTTTCATGCTGTTTTTCACCTCTTGGTTTCTCAGGGTGTAGCTGAAGGGATTGAGCATGGGTGTGATGATGGTGTAGAAGACAGAGACCACCTTGTCCGCCGGGCAGGTGGCGGAAGGGCACAGGCAGATGAAAATGCAGGGCCCAAAGAACAGGGTGACGGCCATGATGTGGGAAGAGCTTGTGTCGAGAGCTTTGAGCCACCCTTTGGGAGAGTGTGTCCTCAAGGAAAGCAGGATAGCAGTATAGGATACTGCAAGGACAACAAAAGAGCCCAGGGAAATCATGCCACTGCTGACAGCTACGCCGACACTGCTGGTGTAGGTGTCAGCGCAGGTCAGCACCAGCCAAGAGTGGACATGGCAGAAATAGTGGTCCAGTCTCTGTCTGAATTCCCCAGTCTGGAAAAAAAAACCAACAACCTGCAAGAGCATCTACAAGAACAAGTATTTCTGTAGCAGAAGCCCAAGACTCTCAGGAGTAAGGAGATCCCAGAGGCAAATGAAGTTTTGTCAGAAATCATCAGTGGACAAGGAGCTCAAATTATTCTTTGGATAGTTCTTAGGGGAGTGTCTGGAGAGAAGTGTTGGAGTAAAGATGTCTCTTACGTAGGATGTCTCATACATGTCTCATATATATAAATTTTCTATAAATTTATATAAATTCTGCTTTCTGTCCTAAGCTAATATTTCTCATCTGCATCCTTATTTCTTATTAACTCGCTCTTACCACTGCACAAAAAACCCCAAAAATCACACCTGTGCTACAGATGCTATCCCTTAGATGCCTGATGAATATAAATTTGAAACAAGAAGTAACACAGGAAATGACTTCAAAAATTTGGAAAGGTTTGTGGTGAATTCCTCTCTTCCTATCAGTAATTTTTACTGCCACAGTGCAAAGCACAGAAGCAACTTTTTAGCTCAAGTCTGAAGTTTTTGTAAGAATTCTTAATAAGATGTGGAGAAGCCTAATGCTGCTTTCAGTGACACCTTCCATAAGCTCTGGGGGAATACTTGCTCAGCAGGACGCAGAAATGAGACCTCCAAAACCCCCATTGGTGTTCACCTCCAAAGCATTTAAAAATTGATTTTTAAATATTTTT